TCCTGAACTTCCTAGCTCATTTACAGTTAGGTTTTATTTCCAATGTTCACTTCTGATTCTTGCAAAGGGGTTTCTGGGCAAAAGAGGTGTACAGCCTCATCCATAAAAATAGAAATCGAGGCAGTGAGTTTAACTTGAAGATCCTAGCTTAGCCAGTCATGACAGCAGAAATGTGGCAGCCTGTGAGGGAGGAGTTCTAGAAGTATCTTGCCTAACACTGCGCTAAACTAAGCAGCACTGTGAACCATCTCCGTAAAAGGCAAACTTGCCATAACTAACTAGTATGTGTTCATCAAACTTACAAAATGTCAAAGACCTGCAGAGAGAACTGGATACAGATATATGTTTCTCAAAGGTAGCCTCTCAACTGGATGTGGTGGCTCTGTACACATCTGTAGACCCAGCATTCATGTTTCAAACAACAGAACAATCAAAGGCAGTCTCTTGACACACAAAGTATGATCCCTTCTTGCCAGTCAGAAGGCCATGAAAGTCAACCCCTGCACACCCCTGGCACTGCCAAGGACACACTTGGCTTCAGTACTATCCCTCAGGCCATGCCATTCATTCAAGGGATCCTGTGATACTGACACTTCCTGCCAAACAGAGCCTGGACCAGGGGATATCTCAGCAGAGGGAAGCAGGGTCGCAGGGTCTTTAAAGCACTCTGGGTCTAATTTACACAATAAAGCTCATCAGATCCCATGAGCTCAGTGCCTGCCCCCACCCCATGTGACAGAGGTTGGAAGATGAGGGACTTCAGCAAGGCAGTCACCTGTACAGGTTTCCTAAAGATTTATCCAGGTCCCCTTCCCAGCCTCCATGTCACCAGTTGCTATGTGGTCTCAAAAGTCTGGCTGTGACATGGCTGTCTCTGTAACGTTATCAGGAAGTGAGCGGGTGGGTCACAAGATACTGCCCCTTCTCGTGGACCTATACATGGTCCTCCCCACTTCCTCATTAGTGATGCTCTCACACGTGATACTGAAAGATGGCCGAGACCTGAACGTAAGGCCCCATTGCCCAGCCTCAGGGACCCGGAAAGGTAACCTGAGGATACCCCCTCTATGGGGTTCCCGGTGCCCTCTAACCCAGCTGGGGACAGCCTCCATATGGTCTTGCTCTTTATAAATTACATCGTCTGGGGAATTCTGTCATCTTACCAGCAAACAGACTAAGTCAGAAACCCCCCCCCCCCCCCCCATGTCAAATTCCTACCTAACACGGCTCCTAGCAAGTTCACAACAGGAAGTACCACACACTGAAAGAATCCTCCCCACTTTCCCCCGGAAACTTTCCCTATTGCACCTCTTCTGGCAGCATCTATGTACCCAGAGCTCACACACTGAAACAAAAGGACTTTGCCTGGAGGTCACCCGTGTGACTTTCTCTTTCCTCCCACTGTGTAAGTCCTGGGAAAATTGCTGGCTTCCTCACCTCCTAGGGCAGTGGTTCTCAATCTTTCTAATGCTGCGAACTCTAATACAGTTGCTCGTGTTGTGGTGACCCCCAACCATAAAATTACTATGTTGCTACTTCACAACTGTAATTTTGCTACTGTTATGAATCATAATGTAAATATCTTATGCAGGATAAGAGGGTTGAAACCCACCGGTTGAGAGCTACTTCTATGGGCTCTGGAATGGGCGAACCAGCTGCACAGCACACAGCTCCACAGGTCTCTCTCTGTTGCCTACATCCCCCTCCATCAGTACCTCCGAGTCCCCCCTCCACCCCAGATCCTGCTTTGCTTCCTTCACTGTGACATCTGTATGTCTGTACCTCTGTCCGCATGCAGTGGCCCTGCAGTGTCTCCTTGGCCTTCCTCCCTCCCCCAGATTTGGCACAAAGTAGAAAGACACCTCTACGCCAGGATCCTGGTGCAGCTCTAGCTCTGGACCCACCTCTGAAGCTACCTAATGCCTGGTACCAGGCTCAGCACTCTCTCTGCTAACATCCCCACAAAAGTGCTTTTACCATTCTCCATTCCCCATACTTCAGTACCAGCTTACCTGACCAGGCCTGGTTTAAAGAACAGCAAGATATGAAAGTACCACTGACCTCTAAAACAGATCCTGATGTCACTCTTGTAAATACAGCTATTAAAATTTAAGTCCCATGATGGGAAGGCCTCAGTCACCTCCAACTCACAGGAATCAGCTTCTCTTTAAGCATCAGCAAGCTGACCCCGCCTCTTCTCTGTACCCTCCTGCCACCTTCCCTGGAGATCCTAAACCGTCCATTACACACTGCTGCCTGCAATTGCTCTCCTGACGCCCCTGTCGTAACTTCTCGCAACACAAGGATGTCTATCCATTGAATCAGACATGACTTCACAGGACCACAGGCTGCGTTCATTTCTTCTGAGTGAGCTGTGGCAGCCTTCACTGAACTGTCACTGAGCACCAAAAAAAAAGGTCTAGTTTTGAGATGCTGGTTCAGGGAAGTACACAGGGCATTTATCCTGCTGAGGATAAATGACCACTGTGGCTCTTCTCCTGGGCGACGAGAACAGAGTTACACGGGTGAGGAGATGGAGCAGGAGGCTGGAAACAGCAGGGCCCCATGCCTACCCTTCTGAGTTAAGAGGTGAAATTGCCAGTTAGGGAGGGCTTCAAGTTGTGGAGAGTGGCCACCCACAGTGACTTTGTACTAGTCAGCCAGGTCCCACCCATGCCCATGGCTTCTCTGAAGGGCAGCTGAGGATGTCTAGATGGTAGGCCAGCTGGTGCCTCCAGGACAGCAGCTATGTGCTTTTTAGTGACATCCTTCATGGCTGGATCACCTTCTCAGTGTTTCTGTCTATTTTGGGTGTAGTCTACTGGCCTGTACTCTCGTTATGCCCTGGCTCTCCAAGGCAGCAGCCACAGGTTCAGCTCTAAGGACAGGGACCTCGTGCCATCCCTGATCAAAGCTCTCTGTATCTTCCTGCTGCTTTTCCACCCTGATCCATTGGCCTTCCCCAGCTTGAGATCTCAACTATGTGCCCACCCCGGCCTCTGTACACTATCTGCATGTCTACCTGAGCCCACTCTGCTCTCCAGAGGCTAGACTGCCTCACAGCACTGGTCTCTCACCCAACCACCACTTCCTAGACAGATGGTTCTTGTCCCAGTTCTGAGTGTGTCAACCTCTGCACACCCAGCCGCCTTCCTCCTTCATGTCCTTACCACTCCTGACCAGTGTTACCTATGGTCTACACTGCCTCCCGCACCTCTTCCATTGCTCCCTGGGTGATGAAACATTTACCACAGAAATGGCCTGGTAAATGAACCTGGGTATGGTACCCTAAACAAGTATCAGCCTACAAATGATAAACTGAGGCTGGACAGCCTTTTAAGCCACAGCTGGTGACCAGTTTTAAGCTCCATCACACCTGCAAAATGCAGCAGTGTCTTCCCTGCCTTCTGAACAGATAACCATAGAGAGGGGGAAAAAAGACAGGAGGATATGGTAACAAAGGTAATTCTCGAAGGTAATCACACTAAGACAGCCATTGTTTTTAGACAGGGTCTCACTATGCGGCCCAGGCTTCCCTGCACCTCAAGATCCTCCTGTCTCAGCCTCCTGGGTGCTGGGATCCTAGCACTTGCCATCAGCCTAGCTGTGGTTATGTTTTAATTTACTCATTTGTCTCCTGGAGAAATAAACTACCCTGCCTGCTCCCCAAAGAGAACAATTAGTATATTCTTTGCTGACATTTGTGTAAAAACATGAATCACAGAAGTAAAAGAAAAAAAAGTAAGGAGAAAACTTAACATTTTTCCCTTGAATAATCTGATTTATAGGTTTTATTTCAGAGTAAGACAGTGATTTCAGGGGAAGTCTGAGAAAGAGGTTGCAGCAGGTAAGATGTGGAAAGTCTACAGGTTTGAAGCAAAATATGGTCAGGGTGTGTAGGGGATCATATCTCAGCAACTATATCATTGCTGTCTCCAGGGAGTACTGTCCCTGCCACCTCTGAGAGGTTCCCACAGAGTCAGAGACTTCTTCAGGTTTTACCCTTAAATCGCCTTCAGGCCAGCTGGGTTCTACACTAGCACCTCCATTTGAGGGTTCTGGCTGGCTCTAGCATGTTTGTGAAAGAAGCGTTGGCAGCTTTAAATTCAGGCACCGGGTCCACGTGTGTTCAGTTCACACACTTGCTTCAACCATTTTAATCCACCTCAGAGGAGGGGGACGCTTGTGAGCATGTGTGGAGAGGCTCTCCATCTACTGCAAGAAGGGCTCGGCTTGACAAGTGCGCACGAGCTACCCACCACGAGCTGGTGTTCCAACTCTGACCTCTCAAAAGTCACCTCTGGAGCACTCAGGCTCCACCTGTCCCTGGGCCCCTCCTGTCCACCCTCTTCCCAAATAGGAGGCGGGCACGTCTCCAGCCTTTCTTTCCACTGTGGTTCCTAGGCCACCAAAAGGTAGCGACAAGTAAAACGCCTGGGCCTCGGAGCCGTGGCGCAGCCTCGGACTTTCTTAAACGCCAAAGGGGCTGGAGACCAAGGCCCCTCCCTGGGCTGCGCCCGAAAACCGGGTAAGGCGGCCGGGTGGCTGGGAAGGGACTGTAGGGACCTGAGCCCGCAGCCACGCCGGGCCCGACTTTTGGCGCAACGGGGGCGCATCGCCCAAGCCTGGGCCGGGCGGGGGGCGCCGAGCCAGCGAGTGGGCGGCCGGGCGCGGGCTGGCGTGGGCCGGGCTCGTGGCGGGCAGTTGGCGCGGGCCGTGCGCGCGGGACCGAGGTCGGGCACCCAGGGCGGAGGCCAAGCCCGCGGCGGCGGAACCCGGCGGGCGCAGGGCGATCCCGGAGCGGCTCCGGAATCCAGCCGGGTTTTGACTCCGATCGCCCACGGCGCCCGCGACTGTAACAAAGAACAGGCGGCGCGGCGGCCGGACCGGGGCGGGCGCGGGGGGCGCGGGTGAAGGCCGAGCCGGGGCCGGGCGTGGGGCGCGGGGCGCGGCGGGAGGCACGCGGTGGGGCCGCGGCGGGCATGGGTCCGGGGCTTTACCTGCCTGTGGAATGTGCAGAGCGGGGTCGGATCCGGACTCCGGGTTGCGATCCGCTCCGGAAACTGCGCAGCACCGGAAGCCGGGGGGCGGTGGCGCGGCATCGTGGGAGTTGTAGTGCGCAGCGCGGGCAGACGGGGCGGGCCTAGGGCTCCGGCTGCAGGGACCCGGAGCTGGAGACTACCGGCTTCACGGACAGAGAATCAGGGATAATTGGCGGCTTAGTAGCGGAACCTGGGACGGACTGTGTCTCGGAGTGGTAGCTGGCAGGGGTTTTGTGGACAGTGAGACTAGGAAACGACTGCGCCCGGGGACAGAGATGCGTGGTTGCAGAGATGGAGGATGATTGCCCTTCCTGCTTGGGGAGCGGGTAACTAACTGGCTGTGTGGATGGGGAACAGGAGAGGCAATAAAGTATGGAGAGTTCGTGGAGCAGGCTGTGAGGATGCAGGGGAAGGGACTGAGTAGACGGGAAAGCTGGGGAGAGGGGTTTGTGTGATCTAAGAGTTGGCCAGACAGTGTTTGGACTGAGGAGCTAGGCAGACAGGCTGTGTGTGAATAAGGTGTGAGTGGGTAGACACAGAACATCTTTGACCTTCAAGACACCTTTAAAACAACCCCACCATCCCATACACCACTTTCACTGATTTTACTCATTCTAAAGTGCCCAGAGGGTCATGAACAGGACTAAATAAAACCAGACTGTTTACAGGAGGAAAAAGTGACCAGTCACCGCAAGAAAAGCCAGTGTAAATTTGGGGCTAAGGAAGACATGGAAGTGGAATGGATTATTGACTACTAAGCTATGAACTTTGCCTTGGAGCAAAGTTATGAAAGCAAAATTACTTGAAAGACTTTCCACTTTGAAGAAAGCTCTTACTCTAAGGGCCCCCTGCTCCTACCCTCCACCTTCACTTTCAGGAAGTTGTGACCTCATGATTGTTTTCATCATATTTAGCTGCCTAGGCACTCAGGTCACTGTCTGTGGTGACCCAAGAAGCCAGCTTTTTATTATTATTATTTATTTAATTTAGTTATTTATTTGAGCTGGCAAGAGTCCTTGGTGGTATCCACATGATACTGGTTTTGCACACATGCAAGATACAAAAGTTATGGGGTCACCCAGATTTTAGAGGAATATCTTGGAGACCAAATGATATGTCGTAGGATCAAAATAATTGTGGGAAGCCCCTCAGTGAATGATTAATATTTGAAGCCAGCAGAGTAAAAGCTGAAGGGGCTGGGAAGTTAGAGATGCCCAGAGTGTGGGAATACCTGCTAAAATAGCTACATTTAGCAAGTTAAGCCCAGAGAGCAACATGGCTGTGTAAGCACTTTGGGGCTCACGTAGCTCCACAATGGGATGTAGAAGCATGGATCTACAGAACTTCATGTCTGTTCTGCTGAGCTTTGGTCTTGGTTTGATCCCATCTTTGCTTTCTCTGCATCCATTCCTCTGGAATGGGATTACAGCTAAGACTTTGCATTTGAATCTTAGAAGAAACTTTAAACAAACTAAGATATCTGGAACTCCCGCCGGTCTACTGATGGAGGTGGGTCTTGTAATAATAAAGAAACTGCCTCGGCCCTCATTGGACAGAAAATTAGGTGGGTGGAGAAAACAGAAGAGAATTCTGGGAGAAAGAAGCTTAGTGAAGGGGTCGCCATGATTCTCCCGCTCCAGACAGACGCAGGTTAAGATCCTCCCTGGTAAGCCAGCTTGTGGGCTACACAGAATATTAGAAATGGGTTAGAACAATATGTAAGAGCTAGCCAATAAGAAACTGGAACTAGCCGGCCAGGCAGTGTTTAAAAAATACAGTTTCTGTGTAATTATTTCGGGCATAAGCTAGCCATGTGGGTGGCCAGGTGCCGGGGACGCAGCCCCGCCGCTCCTATCTCAACAGTCTACTAAATGTATTTTCCATTAATAAGATGCCCAATACCCTTTGGGGTTCAGAGATAGGACATTGAGGATTAAATACTGTATTAGTTACTTTTCTATTGTTTGATAAAACACCATGGCCAAAACCAACTTAGGGAGGAAAGGATATACTCCAGTTTATAACTCTCAGATCACACTGGATGACTGAGGGAGTCAGGGTTGGAACCTGGAGACAGGAACTAAAGCAGAAGCTATGGAGAAATGCTGCCTAGTGGCTTGCTCCTCATGGCTTATACCACTCAGGACTGTCTACCCAGGGATGGCCTGGCCCACAATAGCCTAAGGCAACAGTTCTCAACCTGTGGGTCACAAACCCTTTGGGGTCAAACAACCCTTTCACAGGGGTTGCCCAAAACTATCAAAAAACACAAATATTTACATTACAATTCATAATAGCAGCAACATTACAGTTAGGAAGTAGCAATGAAAATAATTTTATGTTGGGGGGGGTCACCACAGCATGAATTGTATTAAAGGGTCACAGCATTAGGAAGGTTGAGAACCACTGGGCCAAAGCCTTCCACATCAACCACTGATTAAGAAAACCTCCACAAGCTTATCTACAGGTGAATCTTATGAAGATTTTCTCAGTTGTGGTTTCCTCTTCTCAGATAACTCTCGCTTGTGTCAAGTGAACAAAAATACCAACCAAGACAAACATGAGTTGCCCTCCCAGGTTCCTGTGCCAAGTGCCTGGTGCCAAGTTGACGATGCCATTTTTAGGAGATAGTGGGCACTTTGGGATGTGGGGCCTAACTGGAGGTGTGCCTCTGAAGGTTATACCTGGTCCCAGGTTTCTTCCTATGTTTCATGTTGAACATAAGCTTCCATGATATAATACCCTCAACACTGGCCCAGAAACAAGTGACCATGGATGGAACCTGTATGAGTAAGCCCAAAACATCACCTGTCCCCTCCCCCCCACACACACACAGTATCTTTGTTAGGCATTTTGTCACAGTAACAAAGGCTAACACAACACCCAAGATGTATGTTTTCCCAGAAACATACCTCCTCAGTTCTGGTTTTTGTGTTAATATAAATGTAAAACTCTTAGTTGGATGTGGTGGCACACGCCTTTAATCTCAGCACTTGAGAGGCAGAGGCGGGTAGATCTCTATGAGTTCAAGGTCAGCCTGGTCTACAGAGTGAGTTCCAGGACAGCCAAGGTTGTTACACAGAGAAACCTTGTCTCAAAAAAAATCAAACATGCATACATGTATATGTGTGTATGTGTATGTGTATGTATGTGTGTATGTTATGTATGTATGTGTGTATATATGTATGTATGTGTGTATTATGTATGTGTGTATATGTATGTGTGTATGTATGNTATATCCTTCATTGCAAGGCATTACAATCATCCCAGCCACCTCTCTGACCAGGGGCTGTGGAGATGACTCTGGGGAAGTGCTTGCTATGCAAACATGGGGCAGAAGTTTGAATCCCAGCACCCATGTAAAAACACACAAACAGGGCTGTGCATGCCTGCAGCCCCAGCACTAGAGCCGTGTATGGGGCAGGATGGAGACAGGAACACTGGGGCTTCTTGTCCATCCCAGGACTAGGTTCAGTAAGACCCCGTCTCAGGGGAATAAGGTAGAAAGTGATAGCCTTTTTGGCCTCCATGAACACAAGCAAGAAGAACACATGTGTGTAGACACATACACACACATCAGGATACTTCTATACAGATAAAGAGGGAAATCTAATCAAGAAGGTAATTCCAACTATGTGCACAACACTGAGTTCCACTTATAGCATCCATAGCTAAAAGGCAAGATTAGAGTGCAAGAAAAGCCAGATTAAACTAGTCCTTAATCTCTGCATTTAACACAGGCAGAGTTGGGGACTGGAGGCCATAGTATGTCAATGGCACCAACAGAGGCAGGCCACACTTTTCAATCTGTTACATGCAGGATGACTTGGAAATGTTCATTGTGGGCAGCCATAGCACAGAGCTGTGCTGTGCAGTGGTCAGAGGATAAACCCGCAAGGGTCTGGCCTGGTGCCTTCTCTTCAAGGAGGTTACTATGTGGTTATTCACCTTGGTGTCGAGCCTGTGAGTCACCCTGCATGCTCCCTTTTTATGAAGCACTGGTTGATATATACCTAGAGCACCCTGCACTTGTAGGTATGTCTGATGCCCAAACAGTATGTTACCTACATTCCCTCCAGCATCTAACTCAGTCCTGACATGAGGTGAATGGGACAGGATGGGTGGAAGCCACTAGCTGATGCCCATCCTCATGACAGTGATCTTTTTGATGGGAAGAAAGATGAGTCACAGAAGTAGAGCCTGATAGATGGGGGACTAGCCATGGCAGCTGTCCTTGTGGGCCCTTGGTAGCCCTTCATGAAAAGTCAGAGCCTGAAGGTATGAATTCTAGAGTGGCCAAGGGTAGCTGGTGTGGGTTAACCCAGGCAGGGAAGATGGACTGTCGGGAACCCAGAATTCCTCTGGAGGTGCCAGCAGAGATCAGCCTGGACAGCTGGTAAATTCTGACAAGTCCTCTAGTACTCTCTTGGAATGTAATCACAAAACAGACCTTAGTTTGAAAAAGTTCTCTGTAGACTTTGGAGTATTTGAACCCTTGATCTCCAGTTGATGCTGCTGTTTGGGAAGGTTTAAGACTGAGGTTCTCAGCCTTCCTAATGCTGCAACCCTTTAATACAGTTCCTCATGTTATTGTGATCCCAGACATAAAATTGTTTTTGTTGCTACTTCATAACTAATTTTGCCATTTTTATGGATCATAATGTAAATATCCAAGTTTTCTAATGGTCTCAGGCAACCCTGTGAAAGGGTCATTCAAAACCCCCAAAGGGGTTTGACTGACACGTTGAGAACCACTGCTTTAAGGGGTGCAGCCCTGCTGAAGGAAGTACTCCCCTGGGCTTTCGGGGTTTACAGCCTTGCCCCACTTCCTGTCCAGATTTTTGTGTGAATAAAAATGTGATTGGCTAACTTCACACTCCTGCCCACGATGCCTTCCCCGCCATAATGGACTCTTATCCCAAAATAAACCCTTTCGTCCCTAAACTGCTTTTTGTCAAGGTATTTTTATTACAGCGGTGACATCTCCACAATAGAAGCCCCCTTTGGTGCAGAAAATGGATGGGGCTTGGCTCAGGAGTGGCTGGCTACCTCACGTGCTGTCCCCATAGGAAAGCAGGCTCAAAGTAGAGCTGAAGAGTGAGGGCTTCTGAGAGTGTGACCTGTGGTTTCCCTGGTGGTTCCTCAGCGCAACACGGCCACAAAGACAATGCTTTTGTTTGTGCACGTGGCCGGGCAAAGTGAAGGAGACCACAGAAACTGAAGAACACAACGGGGATGAGATGCCTGCAGCAGGGGACAAGGCTGCCTCAATCCCACACCAGAAACCATTGCCAGATCCTGTGCATGCATAAACACTGTCACATACCCATGGCTAAACTGTTACCTATTCCCTCTGCTCTCATCTGGGATACCGATAGCAGGGACCCAAGACTGATGAACACTCCCCAGCCTTCACGCCCCAAATGTGTCTCACAGGCCATGTCAGGCACTGCTTTGGGGGACCTGGCCCAAGACAGATCATGGCTTGCAGCACCCACAATTCATCACTCCCCAGAAGGTTTCTGAAGCTGCTAAAATCCTACAGTAAATTTTACCCCCATCTGGGGTGCCATATTCTTCCTAAATGATAGAATATATACACACAATAGCACACAAAATATAGGAACACGAGGATGAAAAGTCCATTGACAGGAATGAGGGTCAAAGAAGGTATCCGTGTGTATTTTCAGTCAGTTGCCAGTCATACAAAGAGACAAAGGATGGTAGCAATTCAAATATTTGAGAAGCCCCTGGTACTCTCAGGACAACCCAGGACTTGGAAACCACTCGGCTCAATGTTTTCCATGAGCACATTTATTTCTTGAGAGGTCAGTAGAGTTGCAGCCGTGTCTCACTGCCCTAGGGTGGTGCAGGGTGACAACCACATCCAAAGTGCTGCAACAAATACAATCATCGTCACA